GATGGTGGCAGCATCCCATTGGTTAGAAAAAATTACTTCTATTTTACTGATGAAATTTCTTATCAACAATACTTTTTTTCTATGTCATCATATAAATAGCCCATAAAGTCTCTGTCATGTGACACCCACTGACTACCACTGCTACATAACAGCTCTAGGTGGCTGTTTTGAATGTGCAATGTAACCACTACTATGACCATCAATGACAAGAAATAATATATGTCCAAGTCCTTTAAAACTTCAGGAATGGAGCAGGGTGACAGCAGAAGTGGAGAGAAGAGAAAAAAGGGTAAAAGCTAAAAATGAGCACATGCTAATATGTATGTCTTCCGAATACTCACGCTGATCCTAGAAAGTTCTGGAGCCTTATGTCAACTTCCATGTTCAGTTCAGAGGTATTCCCCAACTAGCCCCTCCCTGTCTTGCTCCAAACACGGGGTCTAGATTTCTATTATGTCTTTGGGAACAAAACAGCTAAAAGATGACTTGGAAACAGCCACTTCCCGTGGATTTGAAATAAAAAAGTAACAGCCTCACACAAAAAAGATCTGTAAAGGACAAAAGTCTACCTACATATTCAACTCTTCAATATGGTTTGCCCCACTCCCCCCAGTTTGCCCAAAATGGAGCCAAATACTTTACTGGCATTATTCTAGGCAAGAAAGAGTGGCAAATGCTCTTTAAAAAGCATATTTAGTTATGGGACAAAGGAAGGTGTGATCACCTGTTCGGCCAACCGTGAAGGAAAGAGGAGAGATATGACTCATGAAATAAAGAAGGAAATTCATATGCTGAACCTTAATGGCTTCATCGATCCTCCAATCAACAAATACTACTATAGTGAGGTGGCTGTGCGGGGAGAGCGGTGGCAACCATGAGTTCGTGTCTGGCCCGGATTGCTACCTCTGATTAACTGTAGTCGTACCATGATCTCACGTTCTTTATTGGGGTACAAGAAGCTCTTATTGCCATTTTTTAATCCTCGGGAGTTAGCAGATAGTTACAGCAAACCAGCTCCCTCCTAACACCTGTCACTGCACCTCCGACCTCCTGGGGATTTCATCTTGTCCCTGGATATGTACATTTGTTACCCCATTTCCTCTCCATTCCAGCAGGTTTGTTTGCCTTGAACAGAAATTCTCTTCCATACACTTCTTCATCTTGAGAGGAAACGCTGCCACAGGAACGAGGCCAGTGGCCATCACCTCTCATAGTAACATTACACAAAGCAAAACACTACGTAACATTTTAAATCGTCTTTACTCAGAGATCAACACAGTGGAGGTCCGAGAGCTCCACCAAGGGCACTGACGTTCACGGCCTACCAACTGTCATGCATTCTTATCTGTAATTTATAAACCCCAGCCTTTCCATCTTTTACTGAAGTTTAATTGCTGTTCTTATGAACAATCTTTTCTACCTGATTGAAGCATCTGCTAACCTGACTTCATAAAACCATCCAACATCACACACGTGAAGAACCTGCAGATCCAACTCACTCCCGAGCCACGCTGGGGTTGAACTTCACATCTAACTCTATAAATTACCCCACACTTCTGCTTGGGGGAGAGCAAATATCATTTTCCCTTCATCTCCACTGCTAGCATGAGTGGTTCAACTTCCTGGATGTTCAAAGGCAATATTTCACAAAGATATAGTGAGCGTTTATCACTTAATCAGACGTAGATGCTGGGTGATTCACTGGGCTGCTTCTGAGCCAGGTGATTTATTTGATTTATTTCCATATACCAGCCTCGAAGTATTTACTTAAGGAAAATTCAAGGTAGTACATACAAAAGGAATTTTAACTGACTCATGACCAAATAAAGCACAAGTAATAAATTCATGTACACTCCTGCAACGGTTAATTTAGAAATGTCTCCAAGCCCTTGTACATGTGTCTCAACCTGTATAGAAAGTACCATCTCAACACTCCGCTTTTCTTACTAATTCTGGGCCTTTACTCACAATCCTCCTCTGGGTGGGTTTGCTGAGTGTATTCTTCCTTCCTTTGTACTTTCTCACTTCTCTACTACCTACTCTCAAATCAGTCTTAAATAGAATTGATAACATTTCCCTCTGAACATTACATTGGGTTAGCCAAAAAGTTAGTTTTTTTTTTCCCTGTAAGACGGCTCTTGTAGCACTTAGTTGTCTTTAGCTTCATTTGAAACAATTTTATTAGACTGTATTCTGACAGCTGTCATATCTGTGTGCATTTAAAAAAATCAAAATTGCTGAATTTGGGGGTAGCCATTTTAATATTGAAATGGAAGAAAATAAGTGACATTTTCAGCATGTTATGCTTTATTATTTCAAGAAAGGTAAAAATGCAACTGAAACACAAAAAAAGATTTATGCAGTGTATGGAGAAGGTGCTGTGACTGATCAAACGTGTCGAAAGTGGTTTGTGAAGTTTCGTGTGGGAGATTTCTCACTGGACATTTCTTGCTGGACAATGCTCCACAGTTGTGTAGACCAGTTAAGTTGATAGCAATCAAATAGAGCCATTAGTTGAGAATAATCAACATTATACCATGTGGGAGAGAGCCAATACACTGAAAATATCCAAATTGATAAAGTTATTGGTGAAAGTGAAAAGTGCATCTTTTATTTTGTGGAAAAAACTAAACGAACTTTTTGGCCAACTTAACACTACAAATATATCTCCTTAGAGCACCATCCACATTTTATTATATATAAGTAGTGTGTATGACACCACAAACACTGTATATTATACGTTCAACATCACACAGACACACACACCCTTCAGGACAGTGAACCCCTTGAGAACAAAAACTGTGTTTTATTTATCTTTCTAGTCCAGCGTTTTCCACAGGGCCAAGGACAGTAAATAAATGCTGCTGAATAAATAAAAGTTGAATTTTCTCAAGGCTAACAGTAAAAATCCTTCTTCTTTCACTTCCCAAGAGATAAAAGTGGTTTAAACGTATTAACCAAATAATGTGCTATACATTCTGTAGGAACCAGTTATCGTTACTCTACTATTCAGGAAAGGAAAAGTGAAGAAAAGAATATCTGTTATTTACGTAGCATTCCACATTTAGCCACCGAAAAACACGTTGCAGAAACTGGATCTCATAACCAGCGTGGTTGTCCTCTACCCGTTAACTTACGCTGCTCACTTGAGCATCTCAGCCTGCAACGCCGGTCAGTCAGGAGAGGACCTGATCTCACCCTGTCCTTTTACAAAACGGCCCTCAGCATTCTCATTCCCTCAGCTTTCCCAGCGTGACAGAGGACAGTATGCTTTAGTGATCGTGAGGAACCATGAAGGATGCCCCAGCTCTAGAGAGTGTGAAGGAAAATAGCTGTATCATCTGTACTGCATTTTCCTCTCTGTGAAAAGAGAGAAGCATAATATTTAACAACATCACCCAGCTATTCTGAAGTAGTTAATTAGATTTAATGGGGGAAGGGAGGTGAGCTGATGAGGCACTATTCAAAATCAAAGAGTCATTATTTTGTGTCTAAAAATAACCCCGATTTAGGAATAAAATTAATTTGGAAGCTCAATCTTTAGTAATCATCTTGCCATACTTTTTAAAAAAGCAATTTTTAATCAAAATCCCATTCTAAGCACAATTCAATGAAGTAAAAATGGGAATCTGTGGATTTCCATTAACCTTTGAAGTAAACAGGACACAGTTCGGGTTCATCTTTTCTTCCTTCTTCTTCCTTTTTTTTTTTTTTTAATAAAAGATACAATGTAGTGTCGCAGGTTCGATTCCCAGCCAGGGTACATGCCTGGGTTGCAGGCCATAACCCCCAGCAACCGCACATTGATGTTTCTCTCTCTCTCTCTATCCCCCCCTTCCCTCTCTATAAATAAATAAATAAATAAAATCTTTAAAAAAGAAAAGATACAATGTGTGTAGAAAGGCTAATTTTGTGTAATGGAGTGGTTAATGTAAACAAAATGGATTTTTTTTTTTTTTAATTTTTTTTAAAGACTTTATTTATTTATTTCTAGAGAGGGAAGGGAGGGAGGGAGAGAGAGAGAAACATCAATGTGTGGTTGCTGGGGGTTATGGCCTGCAACCCAGGAATGTACCCTGGCTGGGAATCGAACCTGGGACACTTTGGTTCCCAGCCCGCGCTCAATCCACTGAGCTATGCCAGCCAGGGCCAACAAAATGGATTTTAAAACTATATTATTTTTTGTTTCACATAAAACATTTATAAAACATCTTAAATTGCTTCTTTATAGAGTCAATAATAAATGTTTTGTGGTTGAACTAACTTTTCAGGTCATTTATGACAACTTCTCATCTATATTTTTGTTCAAGAGCTAGTCAGTGAAAGAAGATACCCGTATTCCCCAAATTTAAAAATAAAATCCCTCCCTAGCTGGTGTGGCTCAGTGGACTAAGTGCTGGCCAGTGAAGTCAAAGGGTTGCCAGTCAGGGAAAGGGCCTGGGTTGTGGGCCAGGTCCCCAGTAGGGGGCATGTGAGAGGCAACCACACACTGATGTTTCTCTCCCTGTCCTTCTCCCTCCGTTCCCCTAGCTCTAACATTAAATAAATAGAACCTTAAAAAAAATAAAATCCCTGGATACTTAATGCTCAGTCTGAAAAAATAGAAATAGTAAACCTCAAAATTAATATATTACTTTCATATGAAAATCTTCATGAGAAGTAGAAGTTGTTACCTGAGGAAAAATTGGAATTGTTGTCTAAATCTAACTAAGAAACTTACAGTATTTAAAAAAAGGGGGGGCATCCTTTAAAAATGTAACGGTAACAATCCTGGGAAATAAACCATATCTGTTAGCAAAAATATGTTATGTGCAGGTTTTAGGGAGTGAAGAGTTTTGGCTGCAAAGGGATTTTCCAAAGGAAAGGGAGACAACATAGTTCACTGAGCAGAAACACCCTTCTCTACAGAGAAGCAGGAATGATTTTCCTTTGCTTTCGCACAGCCCTATTGAAACTGCCCATTAGATTGAACATTCTCATAATGTAGACTGGGTACTCACCAAGCAAACTTCTGGTTATTCATTCGATTTCCCCGGACCCTTGATACTGGGGACGGATGTACCCTGCAGGTAGATAAGAGTAATCCAGTTATTGAAAAAGCATGCTCCTGATTACAAGTGAACATATTAAAAGGAATCTGGTTTATAAATGATCTCTTTTAGATTTGCTTAGTATAGAATCCCCTAGAACTGGAGCACCGCTTAGTAGATGAATGCAGGTAAATTGCTCTGCTAGCAAACGTGCACAGTATGGCTTTTCCCTTCTGCACCACTTGTGACGTAACAAGAGTTTGTCTCATATGCTCACTGGGAAGAACCCCCGCAGTGCAGCACCACCAGTTTTAACCAACTGACTTCATTCATTCAGTCCAACGAAGAGTATGACCTATTCCTTGCCAGGTTTAGGAGTCGGTGAAAATAATGTGAAGTGTGGTAATCACCTTCAATGAGCCCTTCCTGCTACCTCTCCCCTCAGGGGCACATAAGAGACAACCTAAGTGCACGCTTCCTCAGTTCACTTCCAGACGTAGAACAGCAGGATGATACAGGGGACAGGATATGCCACCCACAGTATGCTACTCTGGTGTGAGGATTATTTGAGCTAATGCTAACTGAGAAACAGCACACACAGGAAGAGGTCTCTGTCTGCCCTTCGAAGGTCTCATGGCAGGGCAGAAACTTGTCTTTCCTAAAGAACATTTTCACTTGTAAAGGTGCCCCCCTCTCTCATTCCAGGAAGGGTAGCCTCATGGCTAACTCTTATCACCAGAGGTGGTACTGAAACGGGTCTGCATAAATCCCCCCTATTTGCCACTGTTTCTCCCATACATTTGCTGGTCACCTTTTACAATTTACCTTCCTAGAAGTCCAGATCCATTTTTTTTTGACTAGTCCTTTCTTAAATTGCTTAAATTCCTTCATTAACACATTGTTTGCGGGTAGTTTTTATCGCGCGCTCTACTACCAGTCAACGTAAAATGTATAAATACGTTTCCCACATACAATGTGTTAAAATGGTATAGAAGCTCCCAATTCTAACCACCTTTTGAGTTACTTATCACTGAGTACTTCTACATGTATGCATGTTACGCACATAAACAAGCTGGTTTTTTCCCCCTCTCGCTAATCTGTCTTTTGTCAGTTTCATTTGCAGCCCACCCCCCCTTCCACACACCAAACCTGAGAGAATACAGGGAAAGTTTTTCTTTCCTCCCCTACAATAATTTCCTCCAAATGTCCTGGAATAGAATCTGTTGAAGGAAGGGCAGGTGGACAGTTACTTCCAGGAAAAAGACTTTCTGGATGTGATGCTCTACAGCTTTGGGCTTTGAGGTAGGCAAAGTCAATTCAGAATTTTAGTTCAATAATGGAAGAGTAAAGACTATTCTGTTTTTTAAGTTTTCAGGACTGGAGTCAGCCATTGGAAATAGTTTAAATTTCCAGGAACTGAAGATACCCTCTAGCTGCCGAACCTCCTACCCCTCTCAGTGGGTCCCTCACTGGCAACACAGTATGCCCCACTCCCTGCTTCCTTGTGGCCGGCTTCCCGCTTTGTTCTGTCTTTACTAGGACTTGTAAGATCCAGGCAGGATTTTGGCTTGTGTCTCTTTACTCTTTATACCCCAGACATTACTCTTATTTACAAGACAAGAAAGAAAACGGGTTTTTTTAAACTCCTGTTAAAGTCCTGTTAGAACCAAAAGCTCCAATGTGCATTAGAACCCCGGCTCTCCAAAGGTGTCCGGCAAAGTGAAAACCATTTCAAAACAGATAATGCAGCTCTAGCCCCTCAGAAGGGCCAACTGCAGTCTTTCAGTGAATCCAGAGCCAGAAGGCTTGTTTCTTCCAACATCCCTTATTAACATTCTTTTCCTCACAGCACTTCTCAATGGCCGCTGCAGCTGAGCTGCTCAGCACAGATTTTCTGCTCGGCATGGGGGAGGGACGTTAATTATGCAGGAAAATGGAGAGAAGCCAGACAGCCCCTCTGGTGAACTGTCTCATTCAGGCAAGGCCCACTTCCTGCTGTTTTGCAGTTTCAAGGATCACCTGTTGGTCTTGGCATCTGGCCAAGCTGGGGCCTAGCGGAAATGACAGGCTCAGATAGAAATGAGAGCCTGCTCGCACTCCAGTATCCCGGACTGGGGGGAGGGAAAAAAACACGCAATAAAAACGCATGAGAATTTTACAAAACATAGGAGAGAGAACTCATTTTTTTCTTCTCTTCTTCCTTTTTTTCTTTCAGTCTGTCTCCTTGAAATCCAACCATCAGAATGGAACTGTGAGCCAAAACATGTCCCCCCAGTGAGAGCCCCTCACCTACGGGGAATACAGGAAATCCTCCTGAACCTCCCTGACGTCCCCACCGGGTGTCACGATCATTCTGCCTCCACCGAGTTTTAAAAAGGAATAGTCCTAGCGCAGTTATTTAATTCAGCCTACAGCCTTTAATGTTTACCTCTGTTATTGCTTCCTCCTTAACTCTAGTATTTCTATTTATCATGATAATTCCACCAGTTGAAGTTTGATAATAGATATATTCTCTTATTGATGGTTCTCACTGCACATAGCAGTGGAGACAAATAGGACTGTTTAACCTATAATTACAACATTCCCTGGGTATTTAGTGATCCAGCCACATATCAAATACTGTAAGCAGACAATTTCCGTAACAGTCTGTCTTCAAAGAATTACTGATTGTGTGTGACCCGATAATTATAAAGTTTCTTAAATTAAAACAGTAAAACAAGAAAGCTTTTTTCCCTTCCCCAAATTAGTAAATTGATAACCTAGAGTTCACTTCATCTAATAAAGTATACCACAAAGGTTTACGTTTCAGCAGCCTCCCAAATTTTATTTCTTCAAAAGGATAAGCAGTGTTTGTTTGTGTGAGCTCAGTCTTTAAATTGTGATGGTTTTTGCCAAGGCCCAACTTCTCTGCACATACAGCAGCCAGGCAGGTAGCAAAGTCAAAACCCCAGTAGGAGAAACCACCACCTAATCGGCATGTCATGCATTATTCATGACCCCCTGATTCCTGCACCTGCATCCAGGCAGGAAGCTTGCAGGGAACTTTCATTATTCTCCCTTTAGCCTCACACAGGCCTGATTACTGCTAAGCCACTTTGTTCTGAAACTGAGGGTTTCAGGGCTCAGTACTAACCGCTGGATACGAAAAGAAAAAAGAATCACCATGTTGAAGAAAAGGGCAGTCTCAGCTGTTGTGAAACATGCACTGAAGGCTACAATGTGCTCTTCCGAGATGGACAGCTTATGCCAGGTGGAAAGGCTCACATTCACGATTTGCATTACACAGAAAGAAGGAAGCTATAGCATCGAGGACATGTATACTGACTGTTCTCTTTATATACACTCAACTCGAGTATCTGAGGCAGACAGCATGTTTTTAATTTTACCCAACGCTGGGCTTTATTTTGTTTTCCTGCTAAGCATTTGAAAACTTCTTAGCTTAATATAGAAATGACTCTTCCTTCTTTGGGTATAAGCACCAAAAGACTTAACCTTCTAATCTTCTATTTTAATGACTAATATTTATAGTTAAGAGACGAAGATCACCCTGTGTTTCAAAGTCTTCATGAACCTACCCGAATGGCTGGCAGCTGGAGGTGGGATGTGAAACCCAGACACCCGGCACACTGGCCACTGAGGAGCTGCTGGGGAGGGGCACCTACCCATCCTGCCTTTTTACTCGCCCCCCAGAGACAAGCAGCGACAACTTAAATTCCATCTGGCAGTCCCCAGTGAATCGGGGTGAAGCGGTCACAGAGGACAAACTGTATCACCAGCCTGCCTGGGATGGAGTTCTAGCCCCACCAGTAACCAACAGTGTCACCCAGGGCAATACTTAACTTCTCAGGGCCTTAGCTCTCTGACCTGCGCAAATGGATGCAATGACAACGGCCACCTCCCAGGGCTGGGAGATTTCAGTGAGTTAATAGTTGTCAAGTGCTTAGAGCAGTGCTTGGTACCCAGGAAGGAGCTGATACACGTTAGCTATTCTCACTAGCAGTGCTGATTACATGGGAAGCGATGGGAAGACGGAACCCGAGTAGCCAGCTCCTTCCAGGGGACTGAGATAACAAATGTGCTCCGACAGAGGCTGCAACCTTAACCACTCAGCTTATGTGACTTTACTAAAGACGAGGTAACAGAGAGAAATGAACACAGAGAGAACCGTGAACCAAAACAAACACTGGTTTCTAAGATATGTCTTACTCTCTGCTATCTCAATTTCCTGCTTTGTATTAAAAGACCTGTCTTCTGTTTACTAAATTGCATAGTATCTCAATTATACCCCATTCAAGAACAAGTCAATAATCACACAATACAAAAATCACTCCCATTTACTAAGTCAGACCTTACTATGTGCCAGACACCATGCTTAATGTTACACTACCTAATGCTATGCTCTGATATTATTATACACATTCTAGCTTTGACAAAACAGGTGCAGAAGAGTTAGGCAACTTGCCAGGGTACAGAGCTAGTGAACAGCAAAAGCAGCACTTGAACACAAGTATACATGACCTGACCTAGTTCAGGATTACCTTCCGTTCCTGGGAGCCCCCCAACAGGGGTGGGCAAAAGTAGGTTTACAGTCGTCTGTATGGAAAATACAATAATGAATAAGTAATACGAGACTGAACTCTGTGCTTCACATACTCACGGCTGTGAACCTGCTTTTGCCCATGCCAGTGTAATCCCTCCACACTACCCTAGAGGATGCAATAGAGTGGATTAGCACTAAGGGCTTCAATGAAAGATTTAGCGTTGATTTGTGCTTTCCAAAAAGCAAAAGTTTATTTAGCATCCTATTGTGCTTTCTATAGTATAAATAGACATGAGGCGAAAATACGGGTTCTTGGCCTAAAGTTGGCACTAAACTAAATAGTAAGCTTGTGGGTACTCACAAGAAATGTAATCATAGTAATGTATAATATACTGTGTCCTTCCCCATGTTTATGAAAATTCCTTGACACGAGTATTGCTACTGAACCACAAAATGTGCAACACAAGGAAGTTTTAGATGGTAAAATGAATTC